TGTGAGAAGTATTGGTGTAGTTGTCATATCATTGGTGTGGTAATCCAATACACCAGGCTAATGATCTGGGCCACATGGGTTCAAATCCTATAATGGCAGAAAGTGAAACTTTAATTTAATAGAAACCTGGAATAAAAAGCTTGCCTAATGGTGACTAAATAACCACAGGGGCTTATAATTAAAAATACATTTGGTCACTGACATTCTTTGGGACTTGTGATGTCTTTACATATGACTCTGGGCAATTAGGGATGGGTAATAAATGCTGAACCTAGCCAGTGACCCCTACATCCCATGAACTAATTTTTAAAAATTGAGTTCATCTTTTTTTAAACCCTAGTGTCATAACCATTTTATTTTAAATTAGTAAAAATGACTGAAAAAAATATACAAAACACTGGTGTAATTGGTGTACCAGAAGTCATTTCTTTCATAAATTACAAAAAAATTCATAGCCTTCTTATAATGTACCCTTTAGTACCTTCTTACCCAAAAGATTCAGTTTAATTTTTGAACTTTCCTAAAATATCTGTAAACAAGAACACTGGGCTGAAACGCTAATGTGATTAATTCACATCAGGTTGTAGCAACTGAGAATTGTTCTGATTCAAAAGCATTACATTTGAAGCTGCAACTGATGCAGGGATCCTTTGAAGACCCTTCTAGGTCTAGGCCCGAAACGTCAGCCTTCCTGCTCCTCTGATGCTGCTTGGCCTGCTGTGTTCATCCAGCTCTACACCTTGTTATCTCAATCAGGCTAAGTGTCCTGTTTTAGCAAAGCCTCATCAAACCAGAACTAAAATTGGAAGTATGTTGTCAGAACAAGGGAAAGTGTTGCTCACCTGAAGAGGCAATACTGGCTTGTCTTATACTGGCCTCGCTGGAAGAATTGTAGCCTTCCTCCTTCAGTCCCACTTCCTCAGAGTCTCTGTCATCCATGTAACTGCCATCGAGAGAGCCTTGAGCTCCATCATTGTCCTCCTCATCACTACAACCTTTGGGCTGCACCATGTAGACCCCTTCAGGGGCAATGTACTCGCCGTCTCCAGCCTTTATTACCCTTTCTTCACCGCGCTCCCCATGTTCATCTGTGTATTCCCCGTTCACCCATTTTTCAATCGCTTCCCGCCTTTTCTTGTCCTCCTCCAACTTTTGGATGTCCTGAAGTCCATCGGGAGAGTCAGTGTCCCCCTCCTGGTCACCATGACGCAGCCCGTCAGCGCTATTGTTCTCTTGAGGTTTGTGGTCTGGCTCAGTATGCTCTGCCCCAAAGTTGTAGTCAACCTGCCGACTCAACTTGGCACAGATAGCATTCAGCTTTAGGCCTCCTTTCCTCTTGGCAGCCATCTTGAGTTTGCCTGAGTTGGCTTCAGTGCATAAACTTCACTCACTTTCGATTCAGTGAATCAGCAGAAGATTGGAAAGAGAGGAAAAACACACTATGAAACTTCGCAGTGCGAAACAAACTAACAAGTATAACTCAGATTCACATTCATCAAAAAGATATCAAATACTGTCATTAATTATCACTGGATCTTTACAATGACTTTGTTTTGATTAAGCTTCAAGTAAATTGCACAAAACAAAGCTGTCAGAGTAATGCAGGAATACAAATAGAAAGTGCCAGAGAAACTCAGCAGGTCTGGCAGCATCTGTGGAGAGAGGAACAGAGTTAAAATTTCAAGGCTTGTATCAATCTTCTTCAGAAAGTTCTGGAAACATTCACTCCTTGGTTGCATGTGACGAGGGGATCTTATCTACTTCCTTCCTAAAGCCTGTTTTGTTTCATTAATTCACAGGAAATAAACATCGTTGGGTAGGCCGGCATTTATTACTCATAAGGTAAAGTGCCCACTTAAGAGTCAACCACGTTGCTATGGGTCTGGAGTCATGTGTAGGCCAGATCGAGTATGGATGGCAGATTTCCTCCCCTAAAGGACATTGGTGAACCTGATGGGTTTTTCACCAACCATTGGAATGGTTTCATCGTCATCATTAGGCTCTTAATTCTGGATTTGTTTTTTTTAGAAGTTGAGTTCAAGCTCCACCATTTCTCCACCACTTGAACTTGGATGCTCAGAACATTATTAGGGTCTTTGGATTACTAGTCATGTGACAATACAACTAAGTCACTGCCTCCCCTTGACCTTTGTACCTATCTCTTCGACCAAGCCTTCGACAGCTAATACCTGCCCTAATGCCCCCTTCTCTGGCTCACTGGAAATTTCCCACCGTTTTTGGCTTCTGTGGGACAGTTTTCTGTGTTTACAGTGCTATATAAACGCAAGCTGTTTTTGGTTTCTATCGGGAAAGACTTTGGAGATCATGGCTACAGCTCATACGAAAGCATGGAAAAATCAAAATGGAAAGAAAAAATAGCAAATGAAGGCCCTTTGTTAGAACCACACACTTTCATTGGCTCCTTCGCTGTGGTACTCCAGTCAAGCTAGCCGCTTTGATTAGAGCCCATGCACCTTGCAAATTAAAATACTCAAATGGCAGTGACCAATGCTAGTGTTGATAAACACAGTCGAACAGTTGTTGTTCGGTGGTTTCAAATCCCACAACGGCAGATGGTGAAATTTGAACTTAAGAAAATATCTGGAATTAAATATAAAAGCTAGCCTAATGTTGACCATGTAATTGTTGCTGATTGTGCTTAAAGGGCCATCTCGTTCGTAAACAACCTCAATGAGGGGAAATCTGCCATCCTTACCCAATCTGACCTACATGTGACTCCAGACCCACAGCAATGTGGTTGAATCTTAACTGGCATCAGGGCAATTGGGATGGGCATTAAATGCTGGCCAAGCCAGAGACACCCACATCCCATGAAAGCATTTTTTTGGAAAAATGTGATTAATGCTTTATTGAGCTTAAGCTTAACCTTATATTACCAAGCTGGTGTGCAATATTTCAACTCATTTAAATCAAGACCCAATTGCTTCAGTCACTGCCAAATACTGACACAGAAAACCACACCTTGACTCAGGTTTTGCTTCGAAAACTGCTCTGAATCCTCCCTACTCTCAGAGTATACAGGCAGCCAGTGTGAACCTCAAGTGGAGAGTGTCCCGACCACCTTCTTTTGTTTGCATTTCATTCTGAGCTCCTCGTGTGAGTAATCAAAAAATATTCTGAAACTGATAATCCTTTTGCTAAAATAATCCAGCTATAATTAACAACTGTGAACTCTGCACTACAGAACATGTGTGAGCGCCCACTCACTACGAGAAACAACCATCAGTACTTAACCAAGCATTTAACACACTTCAGCAAGGTTACTTCATAGCCAGAGACAATGGGTTTTATTTTAAATCATGGAATGAAATAAAAGCAGCTGTTGGGCAATATGACTGGGTGTAATAATTGATGCGAACCATTGGGAAATGCAATACCTTAGCCGTACTCATTGTGATACTACACAGGGGTTGAGCTCCTCACCGTGATTCACATTTGTCAAGCAATGCCACTCAGGCCTTATACAGCCCAAGTGTGCTGGTGAAGTGGTAGAATTGTCACTGGTAATCCAGACCCCCAGGTTAATTTTTCTGGGGACCTGCTTTTGAATCCCACCATGGCAGATGGTGAAATTTGAATCTGTACAATTGGCAACCATGTAACCGTTATCAGTTGTAAAAAATAACCTAATCCATCTTTAAGATGGAACGGAAATCCTGCCATTCTTACCTGGCCTGACCTACACGTGACTCCAGATCCCCTCCCCCACAGCAATGTGGTTTACTCGCGGTGTGGGGGTGGTCTCCCAGTCTGGCGGTCTTGTCCAGGAGGGGTGGTCTCAGCCTCGAGTGGCATTCCTGTCCAGGAGGTCTTCTTCGGCAGCTTCTGGGTAATCCAGCAACCTGGCATGAAGGTCTTGTCCTGGCGCGGAGGTCTCATCCTGGCTTCAGAGGCGACTTCTGGGTCTTTCAACGGCCCAGCGTGGAGGCCTCATCTCGGCGAGGTCTCGGCTCGGCCCTGCATGCGGGTTTCAGCCTAGTATTCCAGTGTACCCTGAACCCAGGAGCCATTAGTTGAACTGGGATGAGCTTTTACTTTTTTTTCTTCTTATTTTAATTTAGGCACCGTGAAATGGCCACTTATAAAACATTTCACTGTATGGATTTTGCAAAAATACACGTGACAAAACGCTGTTCTATTCTATTCCATTCTATTCTACCCTTATTCACCCCCTCTGGCAATAAGGGACAGGCAATAAATGGCTGAATGAGAGGAATGCCCAATGGTTTCTCTCTCTATTGGAGAGAGATGCCTATAGTCCTTAGTAGACTGTGGCTAATTACCAGGATACCCAATTGAGATTCAATTCAACAGGGTCTCACACAATACGCACCAGATGTGAAGATCATGTACATTGTTAAGCAGGGAGAAAAGCCAGCTTTAGGGGCTGACTTTCCTACAGACAGGTGAGATGGGGAGACCCCAGAGTCAATGGACAATGTAGGTGTTGCCAAGGAAAAGTACACAAGGGGAAATGATGATAACACCAGATCTGAGGAGTGACAAGAAATGAATTTAAGGCAATTTTTAAAATAGAATTTCAACAGTTTTCTGTTCTGAGGGGCAAAAGTAAACCTATTGCGTCGTCTTAAGATCTGTGAGTCTTAGTCAGACTAAAGATTGGATGGTCCCTCTGCCTGTTGGCTTCAATGGGGCTCTATTGAGGCTCGGGCTCCAGTATACTCAGCAATTTGTAATTGGGAATTGGTAATTTCACTTTAACAGAGAACGAGGATCACTGGTGTAAGAAGATGAATTGTGACAACTCATGAAGCCTCTTCCAGCACTTCCCACATCCATGGTCATTACCATCCAGGTTGCAGATATACAGGAACACCACCAACCGCAAGTTCCCCTCCAAGCCACGTACCATCCCGAGTTGAAAATATATCACTGTTCCTTCACTGTCGCTGGGTCAAAATTCTCCCTAATGGCACTGTGGGTGACCCTACATCTCAAGGACTGCAATGGTTCAAGAAGGTAGGTCAGCACCACCTTCTCAAGGAGAGCTGGTGACAGGCAATAAAGCAATGCTCACATCCCACAAATGAATAAAGCGAAAGGCAGTACCAGGCTGATACAGGAACAGGTATTCCTCTGGCTTATGGCACATTATTCAGCAGAATAGAACTCTTTACTCGACACCTATGACAGATGTGACTGGCCAAGCCCAATGCTAACACTAGCTATCTGGGAAAAAAAACTTTGTTCCATTTCCTAGAAGTAACCAGCTCTTGCATCAAAAACAAATTTTGTCATAAACATGTGGCTAGAATAGTTTCAGTTTGCAGAAGAGTATTGTTCATAAGTTGGAAGGTCATTCACAAAGGTTCCATTAACATTTCAAAGGCTACACCATATACCATTCTCTTTATATAAAGACTGAATATGTTTATGGATTTACAGTGGTTTGGCATTCCAATTACATTGAAATATTAAGTATCTTAATGGGAACTTAATGGAAATTGTCCCCCAGTTGTTGTATAAAGAGCATGTTTTATATGGTTTCTCTATTACTGAGAGAGCTGGAACAATATATCTTACAATCGTGCTTGAGGGATATCAGAGTTTTCTGGTGAGGGCTTACTTTGGATTTATTTACATTTTATCTTGAATTATTCCTGACTTTGTCACCACATTGAGGACCACCGAATAAACAAGTGGCTCAGTAATGTTGCAATTTTTTCAACCACAGCATTAAAGCTGGTGGGTCACCGACACCAGGACAGTCATTTGGAAAAATCATCTGGAACAAAAAAAAATTTGCGAGGAAGTGGAAGACATAAATTTTAAAGTATTTTCACAGAAGCCTTAGAAGGAAGATTGAGGTCATCTGGGCGTAACAGAGAAGGTCACATATGTTTACAACGCACAGTATTTCAAATTCTAACTACTGATTTCCTTCATAGGAAATGGTTTCAAGAATCTTTTCTTTGACTCGCAGTCTGGTTCCTGACTATTTATATACATTCATAAACACTCATTTAATAGGCATTCTGCAGGAAATTGAAAAAAACAGAATATATAGACGATAATACTTGGTTGCTAAGGTAATCTGACTTTTATTTCAGGAGCAAGAAGGACCATATATCCAGGTCTGTCTCCTCAATGCTCTGACAGGCCTGTAATAGTGACCAACTGTGCATTATTCATGTTATCTAATACAGTAATGAAAACTGAAGGGAAGAAACAGGGTAGCAGTCAAACAAAAAGAAAATTACACAGAAAATCGCTAAGCTTTCACAAATTCCAGTATTAGTTTTGAAGGGCATTGCTACCAGAAGAAAAGTTTCAGTGTAATAATTTGGATTTTTGTTTTACTCCTTGTGCCTAGAATTTTATATCTGAAGCAAGGTTCAAGTTCCTAAT